ATGAATGTGAGAAGGATTTGGTCGCTTCTTTGCAAGGGCATGTGCTGATCTAAAAAGCCATTTCCACCGGACGAGGAATGTTTCAGAGCAATTCTTTTAGCCCTGTCGCTGAACGCATTAAGTTTTTGCCTTAACCAAGAGAGTTTTCATCATGGACCTCCTCAACACAGATCCCAACACACTTCTTTCCCATCTCCTTTAAGATGGATTAGATTGAACTGCTTGCCAGTTGAGAATCCAGTCGAAAAGTATGTATGAAGTCCATCCATTGCACGATCCAGAGTATGCAGATGGCGTTATGGAAAATTACAAAATTCTTTGGAATAGGCCAACATACAGCCCCCAGACATATTCAAGCCAACAAAACTGATCTTGTCCTTTTCGATAAAACCAATAGTGATATCTATATCATTGAACTTTCTCTCCCTTTGACAGCGATGTGGATTGACACGATTTAGGTAAACGTGCGGACCTCGCCTTTGAAATGTGGTGCTTGCATTTGCAAGTACACTGTTTTCCGACTTCCTGTTGTTCACGGTGCCCTTTGCTTAGTACCTCCTGATCTCTTGGCGCAGAGAGTACCCTGGTTCTCCACTGAGAGAACGGGGCTTCTCACCTCTGGGTAATGCAAAAGCTGCAGTGTTGGGCAGCCTACATATTCTCTGTAAAGTTCTTGATTGGTTCAACTTAACCTCCAAAACCCCTACATCCCATAACCCCTACAGCTTATAGCAACAAAGTTAATGGTCCAGTGCACTGCTAATCTCCTGCCTATTACCTATATTCCATGCATTGGACCAGCCAAAACACTTAGCAATTGAGAGAATGATTTTAATGAGTAATAACCAAACCAAGAGTTTGAGAGAATGATAACAAAAATTGTTTAACAAAAGTTTAATGTTAAATTGATATTGAACTTGAGGTTTAATTCTGGGCTGTAGGGGTTATGGGATGTTGGGGTTACTGAAAGAGCTTGTTTTGGAGACACTACCCAACCCCTTTCAGATAACGTAATCATAAGGACATAACTTATTCTCATGTTTTCACTTATTCATACATAGGGGTGGGTATTGCAGAGAAATTTCATATTGCGATATGTGGCGATGCGAAAGCATATATTGCGATATGTGTTGCAATATGTTGCAAGTTGGTTTTTTAACAAAGAAAAACCTACTTATAATCGAGTTAATGCTTGATTTATAAAGCAAAACCACAACAAAACCACTATGATTGATTAGCCTAAATAAAAACTTTTAACCATGACAAATTAAAAATGTAAATAATATTTGGCTCAAGTGAAACATGGAAAAGAACAATATAAGATCAACACAGTGGTTACTAGTTTGAACTAGTTCCCCACTCTCCAAAAACAAAAGCAGCAACTTGACCTGGTCAGGGCATATCAGAGATCACTGGCCATAACTGAGTAAATATACTGAATGGTCACACAAATGTAAGCTCTCAATATATTGTAAACAGTACCATCTTGAATATCTGGACACAGTTTTTGAAAAAATCAAAATGGGAGTGTCTTTGAAAACAGCCCTTTGTCTAAATGTAAATCAAACAATACAAATCTGTGAATGTTGATTATGAAGGGTAGTCATCCAATACTATACTGAACATATTTTATATGGCATTATTTGAGGGCATGCCATTGCCCAAGAGGTGCCAAATGACAGATCGTTTTTCATTTTATTCAATTTCTTAAAGAAATACTAACCAACCCCAATGTGTTGTGATATGTAAAATATTGATATGGCCTTGCTAATAATTTCTTCAAAAAAATGGAAGCTTTTCAAACATTGACAGCGCGAATAAAGTAGCTTGACTACTTTCTGAACGCCCCTCGTATATACCACCCCAAATCATCTCAAATTATTTATCTCAGTTTACTATCACCAACATTATTACAACTGATATTATTACGATTTGCAAAATCGTTCTACTCATTATGTACATCAGGAAGCTAAAAAGACTAGTTCAACATCTAATTCATCTCAAATATTTAAAATAAATTATCAAAACCCGAATAACAAAAGCACAATCTCAATCCCTCCTCATCTGTATACTCTTTGCAGCTCACACTGTATACACTACCCTGTAATCACTCCTTTGGGTCAGGGCGGTGGGGTAGTCTAGTGGTTAAAGCGTTGGCTCGTCACGCCGAAGACTCGGGTTCGAATCCCCACATGGGTACAATGAGTGAAGCCCATTTCTTGTGTCCCCCGCCGTGATATTGCTGGAATATTGCTAAAAGCGGCGTAAAACCAAACTCAGTCAGTCAGTCCTTTGGGTCAGTTCATTATGCCAGACAGGTAAATGCCGTGTGTTGTTAGTTGTAGGGTTACTGGGCTGTAGGGGTACTGGGCTGTAGGGCTTTTGGGGAGACAACCGGGTTCGCATAGACAGTGCTTCCTGGGAGAAGTCACAATCACTGTCTGGACTGCGTGTAGATAGAACAAGGACACCTGTGCCTGGACCATCCAACCTCTCTCTCTGCTGCATTTTATCTCAATCTGTAAAAAATGAAAGAATTTAATCTCACTATTTTGAATTGCAATACACTGTATGTTATCCTAGTTTCAATAATTGCATTCAGGGGACATCTATTTTTGTTATGAGGCAGAAATACTGTTACGCTTTGACTTTGAGCTATTAAAATGCATGATGTCGTAGTTTCCTGTTGGTGCTTGATATATGTTGTTTCGGTATTCCCGTACCTTCAGATAATATCTCACCAAGATCTTAAAAGAATCATAGTTGGTACAACTTAAGCCTGCAATGAAGGGGGGTTGGGGGTTGGGTGTTGGGGTGTTGGGGTGTTGGGGTTGTTGTTTTTTAAAACATAAACATTTTCAAAGATAAATAAAGCAAGAACCAACAATGATACTCACGAAAAAGAGAAACTGTTGACACACACAACTGTTATTGTTAAGGTAGAACTATAATAATTAAATTTGATTCATGGCATGTTGGTAAAAACAAAATGGCTTTACTAAACAGTTGTGGTTAATGTGACAGTGTTTGCTTGAAAGACCCTGGATAAATGCAATCATACGTGGGAGCTGCTAAGAAAAGTCACAAGCTTCCAGACCCGTGAAGATCCGGGTTAGAATGAACCTTCAGTAACCCATGCTTGTCGCAAGAGGCGACCAACGGGATCGGGCGGTCAGGCTCGTTGACTTGGTTGACATATGTCATCGGTTCCCAATTGCGTAGACCGATGCTCATGCTGTTAATCACTGGATTGGCTGGTCCTGACTCTATTATTTCCAGACCGCCGCCATAGAGCTGAAATATTGCTCAGTGTGGCGTAAAACTAAACTCACTCACTGACAAGCTTCCAATGAGTGAATTAACATCACATTGACAAAATACCTGCCATATCGTGACGACAAAAGTCATACACAGTGATATGGATAAATATGTTAATACTTTTTAAAATGCTGTCAGTGAAGAACAGTATAACAACTAGATTATCCCAGATTAATTAACACAAGCATGAGATCAGTTTAAAATGCTAGATCGGTTGTCAACTACACAATATAAAAATCAAGCTTTTCATCACCAGCAACTGAAAGTAGATCACCATGCTTGGGGCCACAATGCTTGGGGCCACACCTCCATGGATTTTACATAATTTTGCACGATACGAGTTTTGTATTAGTCATATGCCACACTTGCTCAGGTGTAATAATGTCTCTATTATCTATTTTATTCATGCACATTTGTGCACTAAAATACGGTAAGCAAGTGACGACACTCTTCATTGACGTCATGTTCATTTGTTTAATGACATCACATACGACGAAATACAGAAACAATGGCTGCTAGGCAAAAGAGATATGTGCACATGTGCACATATGATATATATGACACTGGTTATATTTCACCATATGGATAATAAATTGACTGTATGGCATCAGAAATGTCGTCACAGATTTTCGAGCGCTGCATCATCATGAATTGCGTTACCAGTTTTTTTCAAAACAGTTCACACTCCATGTGGTTTCGTGTTTATATATCAATGTGAACATCCCCTGTTTTGTAACCCTGAACAATATTAACATAATGTAATAAATGAAGTTACCAGATATGTTTATAATTTATTCCGATTTACAGTCATCCTAAAATCGTTAAACGATGCCACAGGAGCACGTCTCTTCATATTCAGGCGACCAACACTACTACCCCTTTTGTGGCATTGATTAAATCCATTCATGTACATGTCACCACTATTTGGTACAGTGTCAAAGTAAACTGTTACCATTATAACATTGTTGCATTATCACCACTTTGTCAGTGTAGGGTAATCAGCATGGACTGTTGAAGGTTGTTCCATTTGGCTAGCACACACACAATCTATACTAGATATTCACGCTATATTATATTAAACATATGACATATGTTTACCTGTAAGTATGTAAAAAGACGATTACATGTAACATCAACTTTTACTGTACATGATTCTTTACAGGGTTCAAACCGTAAGAGAGCCCTCCCCTTCAAGAACTGAGAGCAAAATCCAAACTCCTTTAGTTGATATTAAAATCAACCAAGAAATCTATATGATGAATGATACCGAAATAAATGATATCAGTTATCATGCATCTGCAACAGCCTCAACGATGACCCTTGTTAACTCCCATACGGTGTACACACTTAATGGAACAATCAGAGTGAAGATTGTACTGTTTGACCACAAGCAGAGACCCAAAGCCCGAGGTGGAGACATGCTTATCTTATGGATGCGAGACAGAAGCAAAGGAGCTGCTTCAGCAGGATCCGTTACTGACCATGACAATGGGACATACACAGGTATTCTGCGCATCTTGTGGACAGGGCAAGCTGTCATCCGTGCAGCAATATTGTGTACAAGAGAAAAATGGCTTTCATGCACAGGAATTGAGGAAAGGATATGTTGGAAAGAAAATCACGTGCTTATTTAACACGCCAAATTTAACTGAGATCACTTCAGGACACATGGATCACGCATTTCTGAGGATTGGACAAGTTTGCAATCTAACAGACAAACATTACGGTGTTCCATTGTATTGTGTAAAACCGAAGAAGAACGGAATTCAATGCAGCCATTGGACAGGCATCAATTCAGTACCATGGTTGAAGATGACACTAAAACCTAACAGCGAATGGTATTTGAAGTAAGTATAAATATGAGAATAGAGAATTAGTTTTAATCTAGATAGAGGGGTTGAACAGCACATCTGCATGTAAGGACATATCAAATAATATCACACAAGGCCAGAATATCAATTGAGGAAGAAATCTGCCAAAACTATGTATCAGTACTATTAACTTCTGGGCTGCCCGTTACCTTTGTACTGGGTTTCAATGACCCGTTAAAGTTTTACACGCAACCCATGTATCACATAATCCTAAATGCAATTAAGGAACAACTTTTTAAATAGCGGGAAGGATCTAAGACACTATAAACGTCAATGTATTTGTTTGGAAACAAGCTGCTTTCTGTGAAAGTATTCGTCTTTACAACTTTGTACGCCACTATCCCACATGACATGAGGTAAAACTGCATTTGTCTGTCTTAAAAGCTTCAATTAGCACACATGATAACAAATGAGAGAGAGAGAGAGAGAGTGAGAGAGAGAGAGACTGACACTGAAGGGGATCCACCATTCATGTTCATCACGATTTCCATTACACACATTTAATTCACTGTGTAAATATTTCTCTTAATGTCGAGACCTGCATCTGTTGTTGATATGAAACCATCTTCTGTTATTTCAGGTCATTTGTCCCAGGTACTTTTCCAGGCAATGTCACAGTACACATTCCTTCTGGTGTGTATGCAGCAACTCATGTATAGTCTGTTTGCTTTGAAAACGTACCGATGAATTTTACTTTAAACAGAAAAGTAAATCAAATAAAGTGAAATTAAGATTGCGAATTCTCATAATTTTACCTTGCTAATTGAACATTTAAATTCAAATCGCTATTATTGGTTTGTATTGTAAGGGGCTTATATGCAGTCCATCAATTGTATACGTAATATAATTTCAGTAGACCGATAAAATCAATGAAATCTTCCCTTTGACAATTATTTCAAGGGTTAATGAATCAATAATTAAATATGTAAGACTCGGATCCATGGCAGGCCTCAAATCCGTGGCGGATATTCCAAATCCATGGCAGATTTTCAAATCCATGGCTAGTTGCTGTACCTACCCTAATCTGTGGCGGATTTCCTACTCATCGTCGTTAGAACATTTCAGCTCTGTAGAATAGGGGTTAATGGCATTTCATTTATGCGTTTCTAACTTACTGATACCCCTGGGCCTAGATTTTCGAAGCTCTGTTAGCGCTAAGATCGTCTTTCGATATTGCTAATGTTTTTACGACTATCATAGAAACTAAGAGAGTTTCGAAAATTTAGGCCATGGTAATTATCGAATACGTTTGCTTTCCTTGAAATATTCAACAATACATGAAGAAAGACAAAAGAGTGAATAAGGTGTAAAAACATTTATTTCTTATACATCTAAATCTGACCATCACGGATCTGATGTCTGTTCAACTGGAACCTATGGGAGGTTTGAGTGTCCGTCACCTCGTACACTCGGCCATAAGTAGAGTTCTTAGATGCGGTGACAGTTCCCGGTCTCCAGAAGCCGCTGGTCAAAACAGCGACGCCCTTGTTCATCGCGGGGTTTGGTCTGAAATAGACCGTCGGTACACCTACAGAATACCGGATACCTGCCAACCATATTCTTTAATAGCACGCGCACTTCCTATTACAGGGAAGCACGAGCTATAAAATTCGAAAAAATAAGCGAGCATTAACATAAAAATAACCATTAAAATCGGATTAATTGAGACGACTTCCGGTTAGTAAAACTAACCAACGATTTTTAAAATGAAAGGTAAGTTATCACAAATAAAAAAATATATGCGTCATTGAAAAAACGGACCTACGGTATTCTGGGAGTTGGAGCGAATGAGCGTGGGAAATTTCTGGAAGGTAAGTGTTCAGTGATTGGTCAGTTTGTGTCAACGTCATAGCCTAGTAACGGCCATATTTGGAAGTCTACAACTACTACTCGGCGTTCAGTAGATGCGATTGTGGGATGTTTTCAAGTTATCTGAAGACAAAGTAGAATTTCATCGATTTTTAAGAAACAAGGGACTTTTTGGAAACTGGGACTGGAAAACATGCGCTAATGTTGTATTGGGAAGTTTTATTTGTGTAAAGACAAAAGCTACAGCAAAGACAATTTGTGTTGTAAATGTAGCAAGAAATCGTGCGGCAAAAAGCTTTCTATTCGCCACAATTCGTCGTTTGAAAACAGCAAACTAGATTGTGGTAAAATTCTATTGCTCACATATTGTTGGATTTTCAAGTTGTCTCAAGATTTTGTACGCCGGGAACTAGACATTTCGTCTTGCAACACTTCTGTAGACTGGTACCACTTCTGTCGCGAAGTGTGTGTTGTTGTGGCAGATTCTGACAGTGATAGAATCGGTGGGGAGGGAAGAATAGTCGAAATTGACGAATCAAAGTTTGGAAAAAGAAAATTTAATTGGAGAAAAAGGGTTGAGGGTCAGTGGGTTATCGGGGAAATCGATCAGGAATCCAAAAACTGGTTTTTTTGCATGTCTGGACAAGCGTGACTCGGAGACAATAATAAGCGATTGCTGGAAAGCCTATGGCTGTTTGAAGTATGATGACTTTCTTCACTTGAAAGTGAAACACTCAATCCATTTCAAGGACCCCGAGACGGGAGCACATACTAACACCATTGAGTCCTCTTGGGGTGCTTTGAAAAGATCACTTCCAGGAACACAAAGGGGTTGTATTCGTCATATTTTGAAAATATTTATGTAAGAAGCAAGTACTTGAGTAACAGGGAGGACAAGTTTATAGCTTTCTTGGAGCTTATCAGTCGGGTATATAAACCCCATGACAGAAATGATGAAATTGTGCATGTGAGACGCCCCTTCGCTCCCCTGCAACCCGATGCTGACGACAGTGCTGACGACTTCGTTCTGTGAAGGTAAGAATCATATCTAATGTTTAATCTAACCCTAAACCCTAACCCTAACCCTAAACCCTAACCCTAACCCTAAACCCTAATGCTTGTAATGTCGAGTATTCAACATTAACAAAACGCCGTTGCTAAGGAACTCAGTTGCGCACATTTTGTGCGCAGTTCTAAAATAAGCTTTCAAAGATGGCGGAAGGTATCCGGTATTCTGTAGTCTTGCCCCACAATATTACAAACATAGTTGAACCTTTTGTAGGTGGACATCTTTATAAGATCTATAAGCCACCGGGAGTTGGGATAAGTCGCAGGAATTGGCTTTCCCGTCCGAGTGATTTTGTGTAAATTCACTGCACTGTTGCATTCCTCACATTTTACATTGATGTCAAACAGCACCGTAACAGCTTCCCGTACAACCAGGAACACAGAGCGGCGAATGCTTTAATAAATGGCCGCCGATGTCCTATGGTCCAGTGCGTGGTTTTGAACACTGATTTTTACCATTTCTTCTTTGATGCAACACATTTCTTAAAAAGAAATAATTCTCAAGGAGTTTCCTTACCATTCTTTCGTTGGTTGCAAACGAGAGGATCTTGCAAATCTTTACACTTCTCCATTTCGGATTCAGCGTTTTCAGTTTTGTAATCCACACGTATCAAGTTTTTCCATGACGTTCCAAAATGTTTCCCCTGAAAGTTCGTCCTACTATAAGGCTTTACAAACATGCACATTGTTTGACCAGCTAAAATAAAATAAAATCCGCTCTATGTAACTGATTGTGATCCCTATATTTTGGGAGAGCTGAATGCTCGTGTTTGAGATGGAAATCAACCATATGAGGTAACCAAGATAGATGTGAAAACTAAATTGCGGCTGATGAGCTAGTACCTTTAGATGTTCGATTTACTCAAGATAGTATTGTAGACAGATTTGGAAAAACTACTTTTAAACTTTTGCTTCGTTTTAAATTTGTACATGTTTGACGAGGTGACGATAAAGGTCAGTTCACTTATATTTCTGTTTTCGGAGTTTTTCCTATTTAGCAGACTATTTTATCTGTCCATCCGGTTTAGGCAAGGGTGCATATTAAGCCCAATGCTTTTTTCATTGTTCATTAACGAACTTTCTGTAGAATTCTTACAAAATGGTAAACAAAATCAGTTAGATATTAGATACTGTGACTGTAAACGGTTAATGACAGACGTCCGCCATATGTTTTACTCCTGCGGTGAACAACAAACAAATAAAGAAACTATCTTGCTATTAATGTTTCAGCCCCAAACGCAGCGATGGCTTCAAACATCCCTTGCAGAAGGGCAAACTTCCGGAACACCTGGCTGTCAAACCCTGTTGGTTTCTTTTACAACTCTACGTGGCGCTCCCCGTCGTGTTTTAATGATATAACTGTCAAAGACTTTGACCGCTGCCTAGCCAACAGAACCCTTAGAATGTTTGGTGATTCCACTGTCAGACAGTTGTTTACTTTCTTGTTCAAATATCAGAATCTTACTTGGGCAATTGGACCAAAGGAAGCTCACAACAACATTATACCAACGAGCAAATGGTATTCCTATTCCGAGGCATACAACAAGAGGTTTAACTATACTGTCTTTTGGGCCCCCCATGGTCTACCTATGTCGTTTGAAAATGCCAACAGGACTGCGATTCGACCATGTTTTGTCCATCTAGACGAAATACCTTCCGGTTCTAGAGATATTGTTCTCATTCATCTTTACGCTCATTTCCAATTGTTTCCTCTACACGTGTTTAAGGCTCGAATGAAGCATATAAGACTAGCAACAGAGAGACTACTGATACGAGCACCCGATATAAAAATTGCCATTAAAGGACCACACTATTTCATTAAACATAGTACAGGGAACACTTTAGGTGGATTGTGGGGACCTGTATATGATAAAATCATCAGACAAGAATTTGTTTCTCTTTATGCTCGTGTCATATACCTCGATGTTTGGGACATGCACGTTACTGATGAGAATTCTGACATTCATCCTTCTGAAGAATTGTTAAAGACGATGCTTCGCACTTTGTTCGGATATGTGTGTTCAAAATGAGGATAACCATTGGCCATGTAAGTTATCATACATTATCATATATTTAACGTATCGCTAATCGTGGCGTTTTTCAAGAGTACACTATGTTTGTAGATGCATTTAAATAGTTGAAATGAACAATGCTACGCTCATGCAATATTCTGTTACTTTTGGGGGCTTTGCTTAAAATGGGACATTTTACTTTTTGCAAAAATATTGATGATTTCCGAAATGTTTCCAGTTTATTAAAGTGAGAGAAAAAACTGGTTCATTTTGTGCATACTCGGATCTCTACTGTAATTGTTGTTGGTATATTGCTTTCTTTTTAGGTCCAAGGTAGAGCAAATAAACATGTGAAATTCATCTCCAATATCAAAGAGAAGAAAATCATTTCATTTCAGGGTGTTTTTTTCCATCATCCCATTTCCACTGGAAGGTAATGGTGTGGTATTCTGAAATTTATTTATTCCCTCCAATTATTATAGTGTGATAAATTTAGATAGGTTTCGTATTTCAATTCAGAATGTAAAAAAACATATTATAAATAGCGCCTCTTGAAGATTTTCCTGTGATTGATATCCAAGTCTGTAGATGAAACTTAATGTTCCTTTAGAACGCCTTTCATAGTGCCAAGGCTGTTCGGGTATGTTATATGTAGATACTAGATAAGTAAAACTGTAACTTTTCTCTATCAATATAAATCTTCAAATTCCTGAATATCAACGACATGATAATTTTTGATCATCGACTTCAACGACAGCCATGGGCTTTGCAGGTGGTTTCCTGGCAAATCGGTTGGAGGAATGTTTTGTTGCTTTTTCCTGATGAGTCTGGCTTTAACGTCTCTTTCCGTGATGGTAGCCAACGTGTTTATCGACGTCAAGATGAACGTTTTGTTATTGAGAGAAATAACAGCTTGTTATTGTGCAAGGCAACTTGATGGCGAGACTGTTCTCCAGCCAGTTCGTCTTCCTCTCTTGAGACAGTATGGTGGTAACCGACTAGTCCTTCAGCATGCTCGGCCACACACAGCCATCCTGACACGGAATTTCCTCAGGAACAACAATGTGGAAGTCATGCACTCGTCCAGGTGACCAGACATGAATCCAATAGAGCACCTGTTGGACAAACTGGGTAGGCCTATGAGACATCAACAGATTCCACCCCACAATGTTGCTCAGTCAGTCACGTGTAAATGTGTTGAAACTGGTGATAGAGGACACTGGTTTGGTCAGAAATTCTCTCTGTGATTGGACTTTGCTAACATTCATATCATACGCTTTGTAATTTTCCTATGTTAATACAGTTGACCTTTGAAAATGGAACTGCGTTTTCATTGCCTTTCAGTATATAAAAATCTGCTAATAAAAATAATGATAAATGAACAACAGAAGCATCGCTTTTCATCTTGAAACATACAAGAAATGCTTGAAGTATCGGAAGTACTACTTTTTATATTTATGGTATGCTTTACACCATCCAGATACCAAGTATTTGCTCAAAGCACTTAAACAATTTAAATATAATATGTTCTCTGATTTGTACGTGAATATGAAGTGATATTCGTCCTCGATACAACAACCGTTTTCATATCCTCCCCTTTTTTGAATACTTATTTACTCGCTGACGTGGTTGACACATGTCATCGTGTCCCAAGTGCCCGCACTTAATCACTGAATAGTTTGGTCCAGACTCGATTATTTACAGACCGCCGCCATATAGCTGGGATATTGCTGGAGTGCGGCGTGAAACTAGAAGCCAAACAACCGACCTGGAAAAACAAACAAAACCAGGCTGTTCGAGGAAGTTGTCATGGTAGTACTTCCCTGTGAATAACATTTGCAACGATGTTCTGCCAGTCACAGTGATCCAATCCCTTCACGGTTCCTGAGACACTTCCAAAACGATCTTTCTGTCTCACAGTCCCTGAACCATATTATTTTCCCCAATGCTTAGCCCTCCCTGCAATGCTAAAGCCCTAAATAAAGCAAGTCTAGATTTCCTCAGGTTCTGGTCTCACTGGGGCTCCTTTTCAATTTAAATGGGTTTATTTGCTACTATCAAATTTATATGTATTCAGGGACTAAAGGTTAGTCTAGTCTAACATTAACGGCATGCAGACGCTTATTCCGTCAAAGCAGATGGTGCGTGCGCCTGTCAAGCAAGTCCAATGTAAACCATTTTTTTTCTTTTTCAGTTTTCTGTGGCCAAAGCCTTTTATTGTCAAAATCCAAATTTGATATGTGTACAACACATATTGTACCAATGTGCGGAATTGAACCGGGGTCTTCAGCGTAATGAGTGAACACTTTAACCACTAGGCTACCCCACCGCCCCGTTACATACTTTAAAAATTAGCTATCAAAATGAAGTAATACGGCAGTGTCAGGAAGATGGAATGACTGTACAAACATTCATTATTTTTCTTCTTTCTTTGTTTTTTTCTTCTTCTTTTTTTCTTGATGTATCCGAAAGCATAGGGTTTGCCCAACGACGACTGGTCTATCGCTGCCACTCCAATGGTCCGGCAGACGTGGGATAACGCGTGGATGTCGGGCTTGCAGATTTCATTACGAATCGTCTGTCCACTCATTTAAACGCGTGAAGCTCTGTGATGCTCATCCCCAATTTTAGAGTCACTTTGACCATCGTAACAATCGTTTCTAAATCCAAATACTATCACACATCTTGGCTCCCAAATATGCCCCCAAAATGGTCTGTCCCGACCTTTTTAATGGTATATTTCCCCAATAGATCTAATAACAAAATGTCAGATATATGGAAGTGTTTTATTTCACATTATCGATTTGTAATTATGTCATGGTATACAAAATATACTTCGCTTTACCAAATACAAATGTATTAGATATATAGTAAAAAGAAAATAAATGGTACATATCTCACTATGTACACTAAGCATTAAGTTACAACAGAAAATCATGGATAGTTGCTCATGATAACTGGTTCCTGACATTATGCAAGGGACACAACTCTGCACAGTCAACTGCAGTGCCTCTTATTTCCTGTACCCATGGGGTATTGGAATGACGTTTCGATTAGGAATGTTTGGAAAATTATGGCAATTTTTCAAAACAGTTTGAGTGTCAAGTAAACACTTATTGAATCATTATTTTGCTAGAAGATCATTTGTTGAACTAACTCTTCTGCAAGTCAATATTTGGCACAATTTATGTATCACTAATACCACGGTGCTTGGTGGTATTTTAGTTGAAGCATCGGAAGTAAAGTTCAATCTCTAAGGTAAAAAGGTTTTGCTATGATTCTCAAGTGTGTTTGGTGTCAAACATGACACATCATTGCCTTGTGAGAGATATAACATTAAATTGTCTGTATTTCTAAGCTGTTAAAGATGCCATTACAACAATGGTCAAGGAGTCTTTCATCAAGTATTCCCAGCCATAAAAAATAATTGAAATTACTGATACAGTTATTACAAAAGAGCATTTTGTGCCATTAACCGAACCACTACACTAAAGCTGCCTAACATCCTAGTGGAACACTACAGACGAGAAAGACAGGTAGGTTGGAGATGTGTGTTTATACACAGTATTACCCGGATGTGCACGCTCAGCAGGCCCTTTCTAAATAAAACTCTTCATGTAGCAATATCTAGTGTTTTCCTCTATATTACATAAACATGACATGGTTTATAGATTCTGTACTTACAATTTATAATTGATGGAAGTAAGGGTGAAGGGCAGTTATTGTTGTGTAAGTGTACACTTTCCTTCATTAATTCATTGATGGATATATATTTTGAGAAACTGAAACAGACTGTTCAAGTTTTCTTATCTCAAGGATATTGACATATTGTTTAAATTTTCTTAATAAAATGATCAGATTACAGGTTCCATATGCCACTTTTCACCTTCACAAACAAACAATAAAGTGGCAATTAGTGAAATACTATACATGCAATTTGAAAAATTAAAAGATTTCACTGACGGGTCTGTAAGTACATCATTATATAAGTTAGTGATAACTAAGTACATGTGATATTTTGGCAAACAAAACATTCCAACACAAACTAGCATTTTGACACTATCCACTATCTTTTTCGCCACACTGATCATTTACCAACCATTTCTCATTATAAACAACTGAAAAAATTGATCAATACATGATTTAATCAATCACCACTAAAAATACCTTTACCCTGAGTATGACATAAAGACATGGTTAAATACGATGAACTGTACAGTACTTTGTATGGGTTGACCAGATACCACAGTAATGGCTATCTCAACCAGAACATAGTTAATGATACAGTCGTCCCTCGCCATAACGAGGGTCCATGGATGACTCCCCGCGTTATGAGACACCCGCATTATACATAAAGGTCAAGTAAAATTGTATTTTTCAGGTGCATGGCACCACTGCTATTTCGTGTATTATCGTGTATTAAGTAGAAACATATGTTAAATGATATACATAAGGCACCCAAACAATTGGGTGCATGGATTGTATAAAATGATTAAAGTTAAAGCTAAACATTAAAAGTATCCGCTGGTTGAACAGGATTTAACGAAGGCACATAGGCACATGTGACCTCTTCCATACATGGTTAAAGGTCACATGCAACCAAAAATCAAACATAATTAAAACACAATTATCACTTATTCATGACATATAATATACATTGCTGGTTATGAAAACATATAAACAAAATTATAAGCCGCATAATCGCGAAATCAAAAGTGCAATATTGTGTACTTGGGTTTACTTCCCAAGAAACTAAGCAGCCGGGATACCGAACCCAGTCAGAGCTGGTGGGTGTGCACTCAAGTGTAACGGCTGGTTCATTTGCAGATGCCCTCACGGCTCATTGTGTGTGTATATATAGAGATGTTGGGTTTTGTAAATACATGCTCATTTTTTGTGTATAACATTTTGCAATCAACAGACATCATAACATGTCATGTGTTCAAGTATCACACCTGCCTGTCTGTGTAATTACATAATGTGACAGAGATCAACTCGGCCATAAATCAATGCATTTTGTTTATGGTGTATAGCCTGATTGGTGTTAAGTTCAAATTGCATGTGGTCAGTGATAGCAGCTGTGTATTGAATATTGTCATTAGCAGACAGGCAGGCAGACACACAGGTGTCAATAAAACAAGACATTGAGTTTTGTCTGTGACAACGACATATCTATATCACAGTTA